TGCATTACATGAAGCGCCTATACGAAAGTTAATTAATGTTTGAATTTATATATAAGGGTGTGGGGACAAAAAATCTGCACAAATTTTAATTCACCGAAAATCGAGTTAGCTTTGAGAAAAATGACGGTTGACGTTATAACATTTTTTTACAGTTGTTAAAAATTGTTATGCCTAGTTCCTCTTGAAAGTTTCAATATTTTTTGTAATAATGGAACACTTAAACGAAAATGATCGCCGATCTGTGATTGCCGAATTTTATAGAAGGCATATGCATTTAAAAAAGTCATTCACCGTTAATCACTTCTTCCAAATGGGGATATCAAAAAGGACAACTTATAGCATTTGCAGAAGAGTAGAGAATGGGAATTCGGTAGAAAGACAAGTAGGAAGCGGAAGACCAGCAAGAAAAATGTCCCAGAAGAAGAGAGAAGCCTTAGTCAATCAAAGTCACGGTAAACTTGGTGTTTCACTAAGAAAGATTGGACCGAAATTTAAAATTGACAAAAAGTATGTTAGCAACATATTAAAGGAGAATAATGTCAAACTTGCAACGCGAAAATTCGCCCCTAAATATTCAGAAAAACAAAAGTTGGAACAAAAACGAAAATTAAGGCATCTTTCTGAATCCGCTTTTTCCCCCTCAAATGGAACTGAAATAATCATCGATGACGAATCCTACTTCACTTTTGATGGTAGCGATACTACTAACAATAAACATTTCTATTGCAAGGAAGGAGAAGAAGTAGATGATAAAGTGAAATTCAAACGTTATAAAAAATTTCAGTCCAAGTTGTTGGTTTGGTTGGCCATTTCGTCACGTGGACATTCTACTGCGTTTATTTGCCCATCTGGAAATTCTGTTAATGCAGATATTTATGAAAAACAGTGCATTAGGTCTCGACTTGTCCGCTTTATAAGAGAAAAGCATTCGGATGGCAATTTTGTATTTTGGCCAGACATGGCAACAGCTTATTACGCAGCTAACGTTTTTGCTGCATATAATGAGTTAAGCATTCCTTTTATCCCTAAGGACAAAAATGTTCCCAACGTACTTCAACTACGCCCAATTGAACGTTTTTGGAGAAACCTAAAGAGAAATGGGTACGAAAATGGATGGGAAGCCTCGACACATGCAGAATTAAAGAAGCGTATACTGCTGAAAATACGGCAAACAAAAATATCGGCTTTTACAAATTTAATGCGCCGTGTTAAAACAAAAATTCGTAAAGCAAGTAGATATGGTGCAGATTGTGTTCTTTAAAGTTGTTTTTATAAATGTTGTTGATCACGTTATTAATACCTGCTTTTATAATACAGTTATTCTAGTTTGAAATTTGTGCAGATTTTTTGTCCCCACACCCTTAGTATTAATAAATATTAAAAAAGAAACAAGTTCTTCCATTCGATTTCGATGTCGGAGAAGTAAAATAAAATTATTTATAATTTTTAATTATTATTTGTAATGGTATTACTGTAACATTTATCTACGTGTGGAAAACATATACTAAGAATGTCAACAAATAAGTATTCTACAATCGAAGATGAATAAATGCGACCAACTGTAAAGTCGCAAATTAAAATCAAAATTGTTGAAACGAAGAGACTGGCAACAATTTTCGTCTTTGCGATCTTATACAAAATGCTTGGCATGGTTTATTATTCATAACATAAACTAAGGAACTAATTCGATAAAAATACATTGGTGACATTGCTGATTTTTAAAGAAAAGCTTGCCTTTTTACGCACTTTACGAACCATTGATTAAAAACAGTTAATTTGAAGTACAAAATTATTAAGACAAGTACAGTTTTGATAGCGTTCAGAACTTTTTTGTAATATACTTACTTATACTGTGTCTCACATATTTATTTTTTTATATCAAGTAAGCAAAATTAAATATATACATTAATTCTGCGAGAACACGAAACTATGGCATTTATCGTCATTTAAGGTAAGATCATTGTTGTTACCCCAACTACTAACCCTGTAGACCTTTAATAAATCTCCGGCATATAAAAGACAATAAGAAAAAATGTTACTAGTGTTAACATCATCAACGTAAAGAAAGAAGAGAAGTGGACACAGATTCGAGCCCTGAGCCACAGACAATTTTTTCTCATGTAAGTACGAAGTAAATAAAGATAAGAGAGGGAATTCTTTGGATATGTCTGTATATTACTATCCACACAGTTCCATAAATACTGTGTCATACAAGTAAAGCTACTGACTGTTGAATGACCACGTATGCTATTTGATCGACAATATTGTTGTGAAATAAACCCATACACCGCCCCGGTACGACGCCTATGGGTTCTAGTATGTACGGCAATGATGACATTGTCGGTGACGCCGGCCGGAGAAAAGGCTGAAAGCGGAAGTGGCGAATGGGTGCTCCAGACAAGTCTAGAAGCGATCAGGATGACCGAGCGGCGTTCTCGATCCATCGAGAGAAACGTATAGGTTTAAATAGAGGCCGCCGTCGGGAACGGGGATTATTCAGTTGAGTCAAGACAGAGTTCAGTCAAGTTGCGCCTGAATTATTTTGTACATAATCGCTGTGTAATTAGTCGTGTAAATTTGAGTTACTAAAAAATAAATTGTTGAGTTTAACCCACGCTAATTTTATTCATCGATCATCGTATCAATAAGTTTTTACGCTAGGATAGAACTTCCCAAAAATTTTCGCAGATGGATCACCCATTTTAAGAATTGGACAAATTGTTCCTTTCTTCCATACGTATGTACAAAACACTTGTTGAAAATAAGAATTAGCGGTGCAAGTAGCAGGTACATAGATTCTTAAATGACAAATGTATGAACACTCTCCAACTCAGCACTGATATTATGTTTCATTTGTTTTTATAGCTAAATTAACTTGTTTATCTTAAATAATAGAGTGGGAGTTAAGTAAGACCAATTAGTAGGAGTAGGATCATATGCGGAAAACACCTGAGAAGAAAAGTTTGAATGATTCAACAATTTGAGAGTTGTCAGATCAGCTTCATCAAACTGTACGTATTATACAAGGAATTTGTGTTCTGTCCTTTTTGTATTAAGAAAATTTCCAAAATTATTTAGGACTGCGTGTTAGTGACCACCAATGGGTCATCTTCAAAATTTTTAATTTTTTAATTTTATAAAATAACATACTCATGCACTGAAATATGCAAAATATTATGACTGCATACTTGTGGTTTATCAACGCACTCATAGTTTTTAGAATTACTTATGCAGGGTGATTAAAAAAATTAATGAAATAGTCAATTTATTTTATTGATTAAATCAGGAATCGACTGCTTTAAAATCTTGCAGACATTTTAAACTTATTGTAAGCATGATATATTTTTAATCAAAAGATATCTGTTTATCCTCCTCAAAAAATTGATGACGCCATCTCAAAATGTTGCCGAATAAATCCTCTCTGAAATATGCAAAATAGTATGACTAACATACTTGTGGTTTATTTACGCACTTACAGTTTTTAGAATTACTTATGCAGGCTGATTCAAAAAATTAATGAAATAGTCAATTTATTTTATTGATTAAATCAGGAACTGCACAACCGAATTCTTTAAAATCTTGCAGACGTTTTAAACTTATTGCAAGAATGGTAAATTTTTAATCAAAATATATTTGTTTATTCCCCTCAAAAAATTTATAACGCCATCTTAAAATTTTGCCGAATAAATCCTATTCAAAATGTGCAAAATATGATAAGTATATTTTACTGAAATCGGAAAAGGCTCGCTCCATTTTCCCGAAAATTTGGCATTACAGTACTGCTATCATTAGTATTACCCTGCACTGATCCAAAGTTATATACGTGTTTGCAAATTTATGATGAATTTATTTATTATAAGATTTTGTTAAGGGAAAACTCATTTGAAAGGCACACACAGCACGCTTCTTCACGTTTATTTTAACGTTACATACATAGCTTTATTTTAACGAATAAGGATTCTCATAAAAACAAATAAAATTCCCATAATCAAATTTTATAATTTTTCTATTTTATTTTGTTATACTTCAGAGGCGAGGGAAATTCTGTCAAACCAACTTTCAACTAATTTATTTTGAATAAAACCGTCCCCTTCGTCGTGCAGTTCAGCGTTTAAATATTATTTATTATTATTTGGTTATAAAAATGTATCTGAAACTTTTTATGTTTCACACACTGTGACATTTCTGACTAAATCAACAGTTTTTACCGAAATAATTTTATTGATAAAGTCGAATTTTAGTTAAACTGAATGTCGATAGCAGATGACGCCATATTATATACATCAGCAGCAATAGATATAAACATCCTAATCACGAGTCTTACTATTTCCGGTGTGTTACTTTATTAATATTTTCGATAAAATGGACATTATCTTTTTGAAGCTAACAATTAAAAAGGCCATTTCGTCAAATTATTATCGTTTTCTAGGAGTCTAAAAGTTTCTTTGCATAGACCGTTAAAAAATAAATTTAGCAAGTTTATTATTAAATTATCAGATATGAAAATGAGGACGAAGTTACACCTTCCTGCTATTGGCCTAATGATAAAATTTAGTTATATAAATTAAGTTCCAGCTATTATTTTGCGCATCGTTTTAATTGAATCTTTATATCACAATACAGTATACAGTGTTTTGTGTGTCTTATAAGTTTTTAACCATTAAATTTCAATTAAACTATCGACAGTTTAATACCCTAAAATCAACGTGCGGTGATATGTATGTTATAAATAACGTAAATGAATAATGGATATCTCACAGAACATATCTTTCAACTCATATTATAAATTAATACCAAAAAACTTAAATGTAAAATTTAGTATAATGTCGAACGTCACTAATTTTGATATATTATCAGGTATGAAGAATACAGGTCTATGAGCGAAATGCGGTACAAAAGTGTTGTCAGGCGCGGTGTTCCCCAATCAGAGTTAGTCATCCCAATAGCATGAATATAAATTGACAGCTTCCATTCCTTACGCATTCATTCATTGCCTTACATTATATAGCTTATGTTCAAGTTGTAACGTGGTATAACAAAATGGAATTTAAAAAAATTTTTCGATTTGTATTAATAGCAACAACTTTTTTATTCAATTACATTTATTGTAAAAATCACAAAATGCACGAAAAGTGGTTCGAGCACACGTCAAAAGTGAGTCAATTCAACTGCAGGGTTCCTCAAGCAAGAAGTTTTAAAAGTGATGAAATATTGGAAAAACATATAGTTAATTCAGCAAGGGTATGTTATTATGTTTTATTAAATATTATTAAAACAATCTAACAGTGTGAAATAATTTTTTTATAGCGTTAACATAACAATAATAATAAGTTTTTAATAAATATTTTAATATATATATTTTAATTACAGACAATATTTCCATCATCTACAGTCCTACATCGATGTGATCGAGCCGGGTGCTGCCAGGGTGGAAAACACTGTTCACCAATAGCCATTGAAATGGTTAATTTAGTGTTTTTAATTACCACTGGCAATGAGCAAAATCTATCATATCCTACTGTTGAAGCTGTGAATCATACCATTTGTGGATGTGAACATACCCGTGATAGACCTAAATAAGAAATTCAGTGACTAGTTTGTGTATGAACTATTTTTTTAATTTATCTGTGATATTTATAATACCTGTTATCTCTGTTTGTTATTTTTTGTAAGTATGTTAATAAATTATTTTATAATTGCATAACAGTACGTTATTAGTTAATACTGCAGTTTGGAGCCCTGCTGCAAGCTGGGTGCGACTATTTCAAAAAGAAAACGTTGAAATTGAATATTTTAAAAATTTTTAAATATTATTCTCCATACAATAAATTTCAGTTTTGGACTAAGATGGTAATGATATAAGACAGATATAACACATTTTTATCTCAACTTTTTTAAAGTAATCTCGAATTAAGTAAATTACATACATAACATAATTGAAATGTTTTATTTTATTTTTTTACGCTGAAAATATTATTATTCATTTTTTAAGACGTTTAAATGTTTGCTAAAAGAACTGACAGGTTCAGGAAAAGAAATGGTTTAACCCGTTTTAGTTCAAAAGTCAGAGCCGTAAGTACCTACTTAAATGCAAAGTTTTTGATTTTTTGATATCAAATATGTAATTACACATATGTATATTGTATATATATATATATTTTTCAAACTTGGAAGATTATTTTGTAGATGACACTACAATACATGTACGTGTACGTACACCGGCTGTTATATTATTGTTGTTATATGTTAACAGTTTATTGAGCAAAGAAAAAAAATAGTAAAAAAAATTCTTGGGTGCAAATGTATACGAGAAGACATACATCTTCACCTGTTTATTAATCTTGAGACTTTTTATGTAATACGTAATAAAAAATTAACTACGATAACTTAAAAATATACCTATATGTATATAAGAATCAAATGATTTCTTTCATTTCAAATTTTTTTAATTCTTTTGGAGCGGAAAAATATATATAAGTACTTCTACAATGATTACTTACATATTTTTAAAGAGTATATGTCATTGAGGTACATTTAGGACTATTAGGTTTAAAATTACCAATTAAGTTGAATCTTTTTATTTTTTGTTTTATTTTTTAATTTTTAAACTCTATTGTTGGCACTTTTGTACGTTATTCTCTTACACTTCAATTTTCTAAATAACCTGCAATTCTACATAAAGTTCATGTAATAAATAAACGTGGAAAAAAATTGTTCGTTAAATATCGAGTTTTGAGGGTTCTGAGAGAGATAATACAAATCTAAAATTTACTTTCAAGTTCTATACTTTCAAGGATACGTTTAAATTTAACTTGACGCGCATTGGTAATGTTTAATTGTAAATTACGTTAACAGCATTGTTGCACCCATTTTCGTATGCCTACATTTTGACGTACAAATCACTTGAACTTGACTTAAAAGTAGTCTGGTTTAAATCAAACACACTTTCAGCAATCAAAATCAAATTACATTTTTTTTTCATGGTTTAAAATAACCGAGGACAATAAAAATGTATTACAGTTTTAGTACCATTACCAGGATTTTTGACAACTCCATTTTCTTTAAATTTAGGTAAATTTTTCAGTTTTAATATAGGCACACAAAATTCGTAAAAAATTTCAAACGTTAAAAGATGCAATTTGCACTGAATTTTATATAACTGTGTTACAGAGACGAAGTAAAAATATTAAGTTTCAAATTTTGTTTTATTTTTTTAGATGTACATTTCTTAACAGGTTTTTGATAGACAGAGTAAATCAGTACATACATTTTTTGATTCTATGAGTTATGATTTTATGAAGCATCATAGCATCAAGAAAACAATACACAAGAAAACGGGCATTAACCTAAATAGTTCTATTGTTTGAAAAGTAAAAGATCATTTCTCTAAATGAACTGTAATTTTAAACTGAGAAATTCCGAAGAATGGAACAAGAAAAAAGAATGACTGCATTAAAAGCGACTTCAGATATTTCACAATGAAATTAATTTTATAGAATAAATTCACTAATTTGATAATAAATAACAACAATTTCGTTCTTATCACACTTACTTAACTGCTACAATAATGACATAACGGGTTGATCCATATTTTGTCTGCATTTGTTTGAGGTTATTCCATATATAATAAAATCAAGGAGTTATTCCGTAAAAACAGATAAAAGTAAATCATTTTACGTTAATACTAATTTATGCATCAATGGTGTAATAGAAACGTTTTTGGCTCGCAGCATGGAGAGTGGAGCAAGAGGGCAATTAAAATAATTCAATTTGCTTTTGTCAAAATGACATTACGATATTAAGATTTTGAAAAAAAAAGAAAACTATTGCCAGCCGCTGACGTCATCAAGTTTTTGGAGGGGATAACCAAATATATTTTGACTAAAGATTTCTGATGCTCTTTATAGCCTTAAAACATCTCCAACATTTCAAAGCATTGGGGTTAGCAGATTCAAAATTAAATTGTAAAACGTTGTTTTATAATTTTGATTTTGTTTCCAAAAATATTTTCAATTTGGAGTCGTAAACTACATGTGTAGGACTATTTTATTTTATACATTAAAACCCATTTACTCTACACAGTTTTGAAGTGACGTCATCACATTATTGGTGGGGACGATTAGACAAGTTTTGGTTAGCGTTTTACAATCTACATATTCCTAATATAAATACAAAATTTGACAACAATCAGCCCAGTACTTTCGGAGATTATCTGTCTAATAAAAATACGGACGGCAGACAGATGGACTGACGGACTGACGGACTGACGGACAGACGGACAGACGGACAGACGGACAGACGGACAGACACAGACGGACAGAGACAGATGGAAACGGGAGACCTATTTCTTCGTTCACCAGGTCTTCGTACACTAGGGGTCATGAAAGGCTCAGAAAATGTAAAAGTAGAAAGTCGACGAACTCGATTACAATACTTAAATATAAATAAAAAAACACTATTTACTGTTATTATAATTTTGTTACAATTTATCGCAAGAATTATACGAAATATGTAAATAAATAATTTGACTTTTTTCACTGTGTTTGTCACTTTTTTTAGCTTTTTGATTTTTTTTTCAAATTTTTCAGTCATAATGTGCATAAATACGCACGCGTCAAAAACCAAAGTAATATAGCAGTTTGAGTGAAATGTACAAAAATTATTCATGTTTATTTTTACATATCTTCATTAGGCTGTCTAGATTTTCCAGTTTTTTTTTAAATTTTGAACAATGTGAAGGTCACAAAAAATTACAGCAGGGTTACTAATCCTATTGCCTCACCTGAGCCATATGCTGGGCGCTAGGTCACTTTTCAACTCTTAAGAAAATTAGGTTATGACAATTTATTAATAATCAGTAACAAATTTTTAATTAAATTAAGTATCACTGTCAACTATATCGATTTTGACAACAGGAAATAAGATCAAGCAAAATTTGTTGATTGGGATTCGCGTTTTTTTAAAGTAGTTTGGTCCCTTACAATTATTGTTATTGCTTTTTTGAGTTTGAGCGAGATTCCGATTGAAAGATTGCAACATATTACTTACTATTTTATAAAATCCATGCATACATTTCGACCATCAGTAACATATTTTGTTAATGTTGATTCAAAAATTAACACACAATATGTCCCAGTTTGTGAAATATTTTACAATTATTTGTAAAAAAATAAAAACACCGATGACTATATTTGTACAATAAGTCTGCATAAAATTAACTTCATAAATACGATAAGATGGTGTGGCGTATTCTAAATAATTGAAAAATATAGACAAACAAAATTATATAACACTAATCATTAGTAGATCGTAGGCTGAATATTAGTGTGTTCTAGGAATAACTGTGGATCCGTACATTAACATAAATATTGTTTCCTATAATTACAAGAAGAGTATCATTAACTAAGTAATTATTTTATAAACTACGCAACTGAGAGTTAAATACATACAAGTTTATCTCTTGGCTCGTATTTGAGTACGTACACCTTCTATTATACTTTAATTTCAATTTTTGTGTAATTACATTTTTTACAGAAATATTTATGAATTTTTCTTCGTATTAAAAATATTTTTTAAATAGAAAAAAAAAATACACTAGATTCTGTTTCCACCACCAGAGATTTTCTCTGACTAACGTCTTTTTTGATTACCAATTTTTTTTTTTCGTACATCTTTAGTTGTTTGCAAAATGTAAAGTTTCTATTTTTATTGCATTCTTGGAATGTAACACAACGTGTTTTTATTTATATCAGTAGTAACAAAGTTACATCACATTGTATCAACAATGTAGGTAACTTGAATGCGATAAAATAAACTTAATTAATCGACACCAGTAGCGTTTGCTTAAACTGTGACAATAATTTAAGAAACACTAACCTACCAGAAATTAATCTCTTACGCGATAGAGAAATTCTGATGTCGTGTGGGACAATTCAATTTCAGCGTGGTGTTTCCCGAAGCAGATTAGTCACCTCGCTCACACACTATAAATTCTCAACTTCACTTAACACTCAACACAGTCAATAATACACTACATACGTCCACAGCTGATCCTCCAGCATTCAAATTAATTTTCTTAGTTCAAAAAGTTAACGTTATGGAAGTGTCTAAAACAATAGTTTTTGTTGTTATTTTTATTACCAGTGCAGTTATGTGCCAAAACCACCAACGTCACGAGAGATGGATAGAACACAATGCGAAAGTGTCAAATTTTACATGTAAATTTCCTCAGCCAAGAAGTATTGATATTACAGAATTTTTCGGAAAAGATTTAATCAATTCAGTGAGGGTAAGTTATAGCCGCTAAAATTTTCATTTTCTGTCTAATTAATGAAATATTAATTTTAGAGTATTTTGCCTGCATCTACTGTCCTGCATCGTTGTGGGTCTTCTGGCTGCTGTCCAGCGAATAAAACGTGTGCACCTGTTCAGACTGAAGAAGTGAAACTTGTTTTCCTTGTTAGGGAAGGTTCAAAAAAGAAACACGAATATATAGAAGTTAGTGCCCAAAATCATATCAGCTGTGCGTGTCACCACCATGCGAATAAGCCAAAATAACAATTAGAAATTTTTTAGTTTATTTATTATTTTGAATTATTTATTCTTTTATCAAAGCCAAAGTCTGTGATATTGTACCGAACGTGCAATGTTTAATTTCTGTTTCATAGATGGGTAACGATTATTTTTTAAACACGTTACCATCAA